CAGATGTCGCGCGCAGTTCCTTCGTCCACGGGAACTCCAGTGCCAACCACCACCTTTCGCAGGGCGGCAAAGGTTGACCCACGACATCCAGTATGGTTGCTAGACGCTTTAAGCAGTTTGAGCAAGCTTGCAACAACAACGCCTGATTGCGCAAAGACACTTTCTCCGGCGACCGCAAAGACCTCGCCCATACAATGGGCCACAGCGAACCTAGTCTTCAATTCCGCATCGCTCTTGCCGGTATTGAGAAGCCCTAATAGGTCGGTAACGGTCTCAAATAGTATGCCACGATCACCCTTGCTGAAGATTGCCCCGAAACACCGGCCCAGGTTATTGCGGATGACTCGCGTGATGGTCGGCGAGGAAAGCGTGAGTATCTTGAACAATTCCTTTTTCAGGAACTTTTGCTGCGACGATACTTGAGCCTTATCGAGGCCGGAAATGTGTTGAACCAGATCGGAGGTGAAGGTGAGGAGGTACAGGTCCTGTTGTTCGGAGGGGAGCGCATGGAGCTTGGTGATATCAAGCTCCGCTCGGGGGACCGCATGGTTGTCGGAGTTAGTAGACGTAGCGTTTTCCGATGAAGACATTGGGATCGACTATGGCGACTAAAGGGTCACCCATAGGGTTCCCTTTCACAAGGAATGAACAGAGGTAAGATGCGAAAGGGGTGAACACGATGCGACCACAATCTGGTGTCACAGGTCGGCCAGACTTTCTATGGGATGGAGATGGGATGGATCTCCCCCCCTTTAAGCGGGCACTTGGCCTCAACCTCCGTCCGGGGGCGGTCGCGGAGAAACTGTTGCACCGGCCCCGCTATCAGATCGCGATTCTAGACACTTTTTCAGGGACTGACGCGCCTGCGGGGATGTTCTATCGAAGCTTTCTGCAATGACGACGATCGTATGCAAACGTCTGGTGCAGCAGCGGGTTGCCCGCGCGAATTGGGTGGTGAGCGATGGTTGCCGTACCCTCACCACCAGCGCTCCGTGGCTTGCAGGTCACAATCGCTGGTCTCAGATCAAACATGACAAGGCCAAGAATGACAAGGCCAAAAGCAAGGAACGCCAGCTTATCGGCAAGGAAATCAGCAGTGCGACTCAGAGTATGTACTTGAAGAGTTTCGACAATCAATTCTACGTCAATTCTTGGTATTGATCTCAAGACAGTGTGGGGTCCCGATCCTAAATTCAACCCGCGCCTTACCCTCGCCCTTTCGAATGCAAAGCGAGCAGGAATACCAAAGACCGTGATCGAGGCGGCAGTTGCTCGGGGACAGGGTATAAGTGTCACTGGTGAAGCTCTGGAGCAGGTTACGGTCGAGGCTATTCTCCCGCATTCTGTTGCGGCCGTTCTCGAGTGTCTGACCGACCAGAAGGCCCGCGTATTGCAAGACGTTCGACATGCTATCAAAGATGCCGGGGGCATCGTCACACCTACCACATACCTCTTTGAAAAAAAGGGCAGGATCATTTTCGAGAAGAAGGATGGGGTGGATCCCGACAACTATATAGACCAGGCTATCGAAGCAGGTGCGACGGACATCACGGCAGATGAGCAAGGCCGGCTCCTTGTCTTCACAGAGCCTACAGAAACCAAGAGTGTGGGTGAAGCCCTCAGCAAAATGATTGGCATTCCAATTGAGGAGCTGGATATCATATGGGATCCCAACCAAGACACAATAGTCGACCTCAAGGATGAGGCGCAAGTCGCGGAAATGGAAGATATCATCAGCGACCTTCGAGAAGAGCCGAGTCTACGAGATATCTACCTGAACACGGTTCAGCGATTCTGATGATTTTTCGATTTTGGCGCTTGATGCCTTTCACGGCTACAGCCTGGGCCTTCTCATACTTTCACCTTACAGTGTACACTAGACTCGGAACACCTTAGAGTGACCGGCGGCTCGTCGAGCCCTTTCTGTACTATATTACTACGAACCACAATATCCTCGCGTGTATGGATTTCGAAATCTTCCAAGACGGAAGCATAAGTGGATTTGCTTCTGATATCACCTCTACTCTTTCCGCAAAGCCTTCATCGTGCTCCGCATCAAATTACCAATTCCAACGCTTCCTGTCGCGTCAAGCCAGTCAAGCATCCGCACTCTATACTCCTGCCACGCCATCTTCATACCTCCTTCTTTCTCCAGCGCACTCAGTGCCTTCTGCGTCACCGGCTTCCTCAGCTTAGGTTGCTCGTCGCCAATGTTGTTCTCTTCTTCGATGTCAGAGAAGCAGGCCGCAGACAAGTTGCACAGCGCCACATGGTGACTGAGAGAGAAGACCGAGGAGATTGTGTAGACGAAAGAGGAATCCCGCTTTCTTTCCTTCTCATTGTACTCACGAATGAATCGCGTCAGTGCACCAACGGTAGGGGCCGGTATCAAACAGCCCACGGCGTTGGGGTCTTCGGAGTTGAGACCTCGGTTCCGCCAGATCAGGTTACAGATGTCCATTATATAGCCATTGAATTGACCGACAAGTTCTGTCGGATAGAGCGAGTCTTGGGAGCTTGGTACCCGGAGAACCTGAGAGGTGAGGGAAGCCTCAAAGGACGACTTGTAGCTGGCAAGCACTGAGCACATGATGGAGATGACTGAGTTGATGGGCGTGAAGGCAAGTGTATAAACTGTAGGAGCTAGCGGGACAGTAAGTCGAATGCTCCCATTCGTGGATGCGTGTGTGAAAAGTTCGGCTAGGGTACAGTAGAAGTCCAAGATGGACAATGTGGCGGGCTTGTGTTTCTCATGTTGGGCATCTGTGGGATCCGGCATTGAGGTCAAGCACTCTAACGTCGATAACGCTAGGAGTTCTGCATGAGATATCAGGCGGCCCAATGGCTTGAATTCCTCTGTAGTCTGTGAATTGGTCCTCAACTGGATTCCCCATTGACGGATCAAGGCCGAATAGAAATCTAGCAGAGATGTCCTTGATGAAATGGCTCCGTTGAGGAGTGCTCTCTCCAGTGGTGTCAAGAAATCACTGCTCAGAGTATCGAAGTCAAGAACTGGAAGATACACGAGAAGCCCAAGTATCTGCTCTCTGTTGTCCTCGCCATTCCAGGAGATGAGGTACTTTTTGAGAAACGATGTGAAAGCGTCCGGTATTTCCTGTACTCATGTAAGCCACCAGGGTAGTCAGTAGTGACTGAAGGGAAAAACCTTCGTGTATTGCGCATATTCAACCGCCAAAGCCAATATGTAGCCCAAACTCTCGTGGTCTTCTACGTCATTTGCCCGCGCAATTTCCAATTGGTCACTTAAGAACGTTTTGAGCCAGTCATTCAACCGGCGATCTGCAGCCTCAGAACGAGCCAGGAAGAGGTATTTCTGCGCTAAGCTACTCCCCAGCATGGATATAATCTGGTTAGGCAACTCTATCTTGTCAATCTTGTCAACAAGATGCTCAACACCACGCAGTTCTTCCAAAGAAGTGTGACTATAAGACACCCTTGATGTCTTCACATCAGGGACAATGGCCTCTACCTTGCTTCTCTTCGCTAGGCCGCGATGTACGACCTGAAACGTCGAGGGCTGCACTGCCTGCAACTTTTCAAGATGGGTATCCTGAATTTCCCTGACATGAGCGGTCCATTCAGGGTCCGGGTGTTTGAAGAAGGATGCCTTTCTTCCCGTAAAACCGAGGTCACCAACAATGACATCAGGACAGTAGTTTTTGAACACATTAAGTAGAATCAAGAGCTCTTTCTCTTCGCCACCAGAAAGGCTGACTAGCTCCATAAGAGCTTGGATGCGAAAGGGTTTGACATGCTTGCGCCTCGTGATGAATGAAAGCAATTGGCACAAAGGCTTGCGTAGACTGATCATGTCCAGATAGTTGAACAGCACGGCATATAGTTTTGCCAGATGAGTCTTATCATCGAGATAGTCGTATACAAGAATCAGCCATCGCACAAGCAGAGCCTGGGTCGCAGGACTGGGCTTCGTTTTGGCAGGACCAAGACAGCACACAACTCTTGTGATTAGTTTGGATGATATTCTCTCCAGTGGGTACAAGTTCTTGACTAAAGTGGTAACTGTGCCTTGGTCAAGAGCATTGTGTGTTGTGAGGAGCTTTAGCAAGCGTTCGAGGGCAGCTTGCGGTATGCCGCTCTCGTACGCGTGGGTTGCTATTGTTTTGGCCAACTGGCCAGCATCCGTATATCGTTGTTTTGGAGGTACGAAAGCGACTGGGTATACATTAATGATGCGAACCTTTTAAGAATCATGCCTTGTTTTCTGGATTTACCTGCTTCGAGGTGCTCGATCGCATCTTCAAGACTACTGGGCCTGACTTCAGTGTCTAGTATCATCATCAGCAAACCCAGTTCTGTGCAAAGCAGGCTTGACAAACCTCTTTCGGAGTCGGACGACATGTCTGTTTCGCAAATGATTTATCAACTCTATAAGTCAATCAATGCTTTTTTCCTCCTTCTGCCCGAATGGCGCTGTGCTTGACTCTTAAGTGTTTCGCACCACCAGGCGCATCACGCGCAAGACCAAGACTGTCGCACTGAGTAAACAGCTCGCTAGACCCTATTACCATGAAGCGCCTAGTAATTTGCTATTTTAGCGCAAGTGATACAGTATGTGGATGTTAAAGTCGTTGTTTGCCGCGGTAAGTGCTTTCAACATGTACCTCCGTCGCGTGGGACTGTTTGAGTTGATCGCGGGAAATGGAGCCTGACTGAGAGCGCAACTTTACCATTTCGGGTGTCCAACAACCACTTGCAGGCCGAATGCCAGCGTCGCGGACTGTAATTGCAAACACCATGAACGCTTCACAATTATCTTAACTTTTGGCCTCGTGAGACCTTGTTCTGGTCCGTATAGGTTTATTATCGCAAGAATGCTTCTTCAACGCGTCCAGGTTGCAGCTAGTTGAAGGATGATAGTCGCCTACAGTCAATATCTTACCTTCATATGCCCTACACTGGACTTCTTAACGCCCTTTCCCTCTATGGCAGAGGGAGTAGTCTACTTAATACCGAAAACCGCGATCTAGATGATCTTGAGCTGTATTCAGCTCCTCATTATGCGATTGATAGCAATAGACATCGTGGGGGGGAACAAAAAGCTATGGCCCACAAATGCCTCCAACATCTCAACTATGGACAGTAATTTGGAAATGCATCTAGAAAGAATGAAGCCAATTACGTCTACTTCCTCTTCCTAGCCGGCTGCTTAGAGCTTGCCTTTCCGGAGGCAGTCGCTGTCTCCTTGGCCTTGGGCTCCTCAGCCGGTGTAGGCTCCTCTTCCTCCTCATCACTGTCACCTCCCTGACCGAATTCGTTGACACGCTTGTAATCAACCTTGTACTTCCAGCCCTGGTAGAGCCAGATAAAGAAGATGACATCATCACGGAAGGTTGCCAATCTGTGGAGCCAAGGCATCTTGACGGTGAAAGCGAAAAGGTCATCGATGAAGGTGTTGAGGAACTTGTATGTCAATGCCTTTCCGGGCATATGAGCGACAGACTATAATAGTGGGTTAGCAAGGCCATTACAAGAGTGGGTACAAGAACGAAAACATACCTTCAGTCGATAGTTGATGTACAAACTAGGCACCATCATCAGGAAGCCGTAGGCGTAGACACTGCCAACAAGGGTCTCGATGACATAGGAGTACCACGACTTGTGCGTGTTGTAGATCAAGCTGTACACAGCATACGCGGCCAAGAGCGGGACGGCAATGATATACAGCCAGCGGAATGCGATCTCATCATACTCTTTGGTCTTCTGCTCCGTCTCGCTGAGCTTGTGCTTGTCCTCAAAGACAATAACATAAGGCAGGAATGAGAAGAATGATCCAGCCGGCGGAGGACGCAAGCGCACGTCTACTGTCTTGGTGATCTTCCAGGCTTCTAGCAAGATACCAAAACCTTGACTTGCGAGGATCATCCACGAAGTGTTCTCACTGTTGTCCATCAAGTAGAGGAAAATGACTGCCTGCATGAAGACGTTCGCCAGGATGGTACGAACGGAGGTACCGACAACATCCTTCTTCTTGCGCCAGTGAGACTATTCAGAGTACATACCCATTAGCATTTTTAAACAAAAAGGCTCCGAAAGGGGGGATGGGTAATAAGCTTACGATATCGTTCTTGAAGGCCAGAGTTTCGAAGACCATATGCAGGATAGTAACCACACCAGTTGTGCAGAGCAGGTAGATGTTCGTGTCGAGCAGGACTTCCTTGACCATTTCGAACTCGCTACCGTCGCCGCCACCGGGAGTCTGACCACCGAAAGCCGCCTGCTTAGCGTTTGCCTTCGCATTCTCATCAACACTTGCCATCATGCTGAACTTCCAGTTCTGCAAGTTGTTAAGAGTGATACGCATAGGAACGGTCTCGACAGTCGAGTTGAGCTCCATCATGTGGCTTCTGAGCTGCCAAAAGGTGTTCAGGAACACAATCGGATAGTACCAGCCATTCTGCCCGGTGGCATCCCGCGCGCCAGTAGCTTCGAGCTGCATATGCTGTCTAACAGCGGGGTGAACCTGACGGTACTTCTGTGCGCCGGAGTCAGGAACAACAGACACAGTGAAGTTCGGGTGGTAGTATGACGCAATGGAGACATCGGGAGTGCCATCATCCTCTTCTTCCTCGGTTTCCTCCGACGAAGCCAGCAGGTTCTTCAACTTCTTCACCTTCTTCTTAGGGAGGTACTGGTTCAAGGGGCGGAAGAAATGGACGGCACTATCGGTGCTATAATCCTTGGCGGTAGGGTCGAGCTGGTGTCCGGTGAGTCCGACAAAGAAATGCGCCCAGAGAGTTCCATTGCGTTGAACCTCTTTGGGGATCTTGATGGTCGTATCGATTTCTCTAGTGTCACTGTAGTTGCCGATAGTAAAGTTCTTCTCCTCCAGAACGAGCGAATCCGATGGGAAAGACTTGAATCCAGGAACAAGAATCGAAGGCGACACATAGATGTTCAGGTCCAGGGCACTATCGGAGGGCCAAATCGGGGTAACGAGATCAGGGACGGGGCTGTAGTTGGACACTTCGCTGCGAGGCGGACGCGTGTTGAAAGAAGGCACATCACTAGGCTTCGCTCCTGAGCCCGCGTTGTTCTTTGACCCAAAGAACTGGCTCATCACAAACTGCGCCAACAAGAAGAAAGCCAGGCCCTGAAGGGCACCCTTGAAGCCGGACTAAAGCAAGGAAAAGCGACTGTCAGCTAATCCATCGAATCCAGTACCAAACAAAAGCAGATTGAAGCATACGCACGCTTTGCTCCGGCTCCTCCCTGCGCTGACGTTGTTCCGGCATTGCGACCCGTTAATAGCAAACCTGGTCAGCAAAGATGGAAAAACGGGGGAGAGGGGAAAGAAAGAGGAGAAGGAAAAGAAAAGAGGCCACGAAGGAACACGAAGGCTAACGGCTGGTTGGTTGGTTCTGGCCCAGAAAAGGCGCGGCGTTTGGCCCTTGGCGGGTCCCGGCGATAAGCCAGGCGGAAGTGGGAAGGGAAAGCATGTCATAAATCCCTCCTCCGCGGATTTCTCCACATCACCGATCTGCTACGAATCCGCCTAACTTGGAGAAGAAGCACTCAGTCGCGCAATGGGCATGTTAGCCTCATGAAGGTCGGTTTTCATCCCAATGGCGGACAATCAGCCCTCTCCCGATTACTCCCGCCCTCAGTTTCCTGCTCATAATGAGCCGCGGGTGTGGGTTATCACGGCCGGGGATTCCCCCATCGGCATCTCTGTGACGCGCCAGATTTTAATGCATGGCGACTATGCCCTGGTTGGACTGGCGCATTCGAACCTGGATCGCGATGAATGTCGTCGCGATATGTTCGATGCTTTTCTCGCAGAAATTGAAAGCAATGAGGGATGGGGGAAGCGATTCAAGGCACTGCCTCTAGACATAAGGTGTGATTGGATCTTGAACCCTCTCGACCATATGACATAGGCTTATAATTATCTTACAGAATGGTTGGCGAGTGCCAGGCCATAGTGGCGCAAGCAGTCGCTTCCTTTGGCAGAGTAGACGTTCTTCTATGCTGTACCAGCCAAGGTTAGCCTTCAACGGCCTCGAAACCCACATCTTGCACATCGCTAAATGGCATCGTAGCCCTCATCGGAACAGTGGAAGAGCTCTCAGCCTCACAGCAGACACTAAATCTCGTCCGAGACCAGTTTGAGAGCAACTACTTTGGTCCACTAAATATCATCAAAGCAGCGCTGCCGCACATGCGAAGGCAAAAAGCAGGGCACATCACGATCCTCTCCGGCATCAGTAAGCGCAACTCCTACCTCCCACATACATCGCACATGATCTAACCAAAAGAACAGCCGCTCACATTGGTACACCCGGACTGGGAATGTACTGCGCAGCCGGATGGGCACTCGAAGGCTTCTGCGACGTAAGCCTCACCACATGCAATCCTCCATTCCAACCTTATCGCTAACCAATCCATCCACCAGAGTCTCGCATACGAGATCGCCCCATTCAACATAAAACTCACCATATTCCAATGCAGCATCGAGATCGGCATTCTCACAAACCTAGTAACCAGCGTTCCACCCATAGGACCCGTATACTCATCCGCAGCTAACCACGCACCACTATTCCGCGGGATTATGAACCGACTCGTCTCACGTCTATCAAGCAACACGCAATCATCCGCAAAGTCATCTAATGGGTCGAACCAAGGGAACTCTATTGAAGACGGTCCATTCTCGGCCTCGGAGGTCATATCCACGTATCCCCCGCTCAGTTCGGCGCATATGGAGGTGTTGGTGAGTGAAACTGTCTATGCTATCACAGCTATCGCCGGCCACGAGAATCCCCCGTCACGGCATATTGTGGGACAGGAGGGTGTGGCGAGTGTAAAGGAGAAACTTAAGACGGTTAGTGAAGAGCTGGAGGATTTTATCCAGGCGAGCTTTGCTGTGGATTATGCTGCTGATGAGGCTGGTCGGTCGTCTAAGGACGAAGGTATGATTATGGGTATGGGTGCTGGTCATGAGGGGTTCTAATGGTAACGCATGATATCTACACTTCTTGGTGTGTTTTGGATAATTGATAGGTAATATTATGAATGAGGAGTCCGCTCGTGTCTATGGTAGAGGTATCATGAGGAACCTGTACTAATTTTGTTGGCGACACCGCCATGATCTGAAGGAATATCCAAACCGGGAGAAAGTAAAGCATGTTAGTATGTTGGGCGCGTACATAGAAAGGACCAGCCATTCTATTTACTTCCCAGCACGTTGGAACCAAGCTTGTCTCACCTCCCATAAACTACCCATATCCTGATTATTCCGATACGCACGGAACTCTTTCCAAGCATTCCCATTAGGAATGTCCGTAATACGACCGTCGACTTCTATAATCCTCGAGGCAAGTGAGGTAAGCCCTTGAATATTCTCAATCAAAATCTCGTCCATATTGCTGTCGGGAGTGTTCGCAGGAGGTGTCTTCTCCGTCTCTTCTGTCGAGTCCTGAGGGGCTTCGGGCACTGATACGGACGGCTCGTCTAATGCTTCGCCCGTGCTGTCCAGCTTCTCACTCGTTGCGGTGGAGATTTCTGCAACCTCTGCGGACGAAACGGCCTCTGCCGTTGTTGAAGGGCTGGCGGTTTCTGCTGCCGCTTCGATCGGATTTTCAGGCACCTCGCTAGATGATGCCGCTTGGTCATCGGCTTCTGGGGGCTGCGAACGCTGTCGTTTGCAGTCACCGTTCTCATCTTCACATTTGCGCTTCTTAGGGGAGACAGGATCTGTCGTTTCGCTAGTGTTTAGTTGGACGTTGGAGTCGGTTTCGACAGCATCACTATCTTGCTGCCGGTCACCGGCTTCCACATCGGCTTTTGTGCCATCCATATGGCTTTGGTTTTGCTTGCTCGGGCTCGAGACAACTGGAAGAAATACACGCTGCCCAGGAGGAATGACGAAGCTCAACCGCGCACCCTTAATGCCCACAATCTAGCGAGTTGTTAGCAAGTCTGACAGATTTGAATCAAGGAAGCGTTAAAGTCCCCACATACCCTAGCTTCCTTCTCTATCAGAACTCTGTCGGCACCTTTGGAAAAGCATCGCGAGTACTTCCAGACATCGCCCTCGCGAACAACGTTATGGTCAATCAGCGTCTTCAATTTCACCTGAGAGCTTTGTCCTGCCAATAGTGTCTTATCCATCTTCTGTTTCTGTCCCCAGAACTCTTCGAACTCTTCCTCCTTAAACCTGTCAAACGCGCCCGCGGCCCTCTCCTCCATAGCCAGTTCCGCCTGGCGCAACCATTCCGGATCATGAAATCCATTCTGGAGCTCCACTTGAAATTGCCGAATACCTTCGCGCCAGTTATTCGAGTAGCGTAAGAATTCCTGCGGAGGAGGGGGTATCTTCACATCGGCATCATCATCCGTTGGCGGGTTAGGGTCCGGATGTACACTATCCGGGAGAAGTTTTATGATCTCTTGCTTTTCGCTCTCTTCGAGACAATCCCAAGCTTTGGGGTTGGCAAGTAGGCCCTGTTCATTGTTGGTGATTAGCATGCCATTCCCGACATTGCGCCAGCACTATCGATAGTGCCATATCTAGCGATTCCAACATACCACTAAATCCGCATCAACCAACGGTGACTTCGTACTTGTCATCACCTTCTCCTCCTCCCATGGATCCTTCGCGGCTCTTCTAGGATTCCGCTTCGGTTTAGCATTGGTAGTGGTAGTAGATGGTGGCATCGCGGAGCTTGATTCGCCGGCATTACTCTGTTCAGCCGCATTCACAGAGCGAGAGGAACGGCCTCTGAAACATTCTTAAGATCAGCACTCTTCACTAGATCAGTGACGCCTTCCTCCGCAGTCGTCCTATGCGTCTGGTTCCAGACACAAGAGGGAAAGAAGAGAACGCAAGCATTAGTTGGTTTATTCGTACCTTGTTGTTGGCTGCTGCTTCGCTGCTGAACTGCCGCAGTCGACCGCCTTGCGAGGGCGGGCCATTGTTCCGCGGGCCTGGATTGGAGATCTGGACAATACCCCGAAGTCACCAACTTACCACTGCGTCAACAGAGGAGTGCTTAATTCGGCGATAAGACGGTAAATAAGAATCGCCACGATGGTTAGGTCAACACAGATTGCCAGAATTGATGGTAAGATGCTGTCCGGTGCTTGTTCAGGGGGAGGAAGAGTGAGGGGGTGAGCCAAGTGTGCCGTTTGCTGATGTTACGAGACAGGCTTGATGCTGGCGGCATCGGTGGATGATGAGCAGGTTAGTTTGGTTCAAGGCGCATTCACTGCACCATTGTTGCTTGATAGCTGACAATAAGGAATCTTGGTGTTCTTCTCTAGGCCGAAGTGGAGCTCTCTGAAATCAAGTCTCAGGCTAAGATGATCTTTCGCCGATTGAACCGCATTTCGGCGCCGCAAGCCAGTATTGAATCCGGTCAATTTAATCTACAGTATGTTTTTGGTGTTTGAATCTTGTACGACGCAAAAGTTCTCAGTGCAAGTTGGCTGACCACCGGAGTTAGCTATCTTATCAAGGATGATATCTGCTTCCTTTGCATATGCGATCACTCCTATCCGCGCAAGCTTGCGTTCACCTATCTGGCCGATCTCGCGACCGAGTTCACTACCACATATTCCCCGACACAATATCAATCCCCGACTCTGCGCCCATACGCCTTTGTGGAATTCGACACCTTCATTCAGCGCACCAAGAAGCTCTACCAGGATAGTCGCGCGTCGCAAAATCTCGACCGTCTGAACGATGAGCTCCGGGACGTGACAAAGGTGATGACCAAGAACATCGAGGACCTTCTATACAGAGGCGATAGCTTGGAGAGAATGGGTGAATTGTCGGGCCGTCTACGAGAAGACAGCAAGAAGTACAGAAAGGCCGCGGTACGGATCAACTGGGAGTTGTTGGTCAAGCAGGTAGGTTCTAAGTGTTGAGGCAACGGCAGACTTGTCGCTAACTTGTCGCAGTATGGTCCTGTCGCGGGTGTTGGGTTTATCTTTCTTTTCTTCATTTGGTGGCGCTTCTTTTAATTGCGGGCAAAACGGCTCCGAACTCGATACCCGCTAATATGATTGTATGCATAGATAATGTCTCTGGTGGTTGCAGGACACCATCCCCCTAAGCCCAGGACTTGAATCAGCTCGAACATATATCTGGCAGAGCTGTTGGACTGTATATCTTTAAGTCATCGCATAGTTGTAAGAGCTTGAACAGCGAATCCGTATCCTTTTATCGCACATGGCCCGTGTTGCAAATGACGTTTTCATAAGGAGAATCCGCAGACGGTCAAATGGTGCATGGTGGCGTATATGAGGGGCCTGGGTGATGAATAACTCGAGGCAAGTAAACCTAGATTTCATCTTCCTCTTCGTCAAAGTCGTCCT